AAGGAAACGGCCTTGGGTAGCACATGTGACGTCTTAGAAAGGTCGTCAGGGTCAAGAAAAAGGTGTTGGTTCCTGGAATTGGAATCGAGACAAGAAGTATGCCACACAGTTTGAAACATCGGATAGAAAAATTTACAGCGCCTGAAAAAGTTTTGTTTACTCACTTATCATGTGTGTAACATCAGTAGGTAGTCCCCCCCCACACACACACGTACACACAATGTGTTATCCATTTTGGTGCAGTTGTAGGATTGGATAATAGTTACAAGTTATTAGTGTAATTATGGTGTAATATGTTACATAATTAAGACAACATGTCAATGTATATGAATTACTATAATTAAATTTACGTACTGTAATTTCAAATTTTTACACTGTACTTTTATGTTCACCTTTTTCACGGTCACTTCACAGGGCTCAAACTACTTTTTTTTAGGTAACGTTACGTGCAAAATTGCATGTTGGAAAAATTTTAGGTGCAATTTGAAAAAAGCTTTGTGCAAAATAATTTAGTCGGTTTGTAACTGTGTGTTATCCTTCTCATTTGATAAATTATCATATGTCTTTCTCCCTCCATGTACTCTCCAAGCAGAGGTTGTGGGGGAATGATCGTTAGCTTTTTATACATGGCCGTTTTTTTTTTGTCGCTACCCCCACCAATGGTGGCTGCGGACCTTCTCTGGCTAATGGATACTGCCTGGCCAATTTGATACTGTCTTTTTGCCACCGAGAGGGATCTGCTTGGAGATTACCTCCATGCACTTGCCACCACTATGACGATTAAGTTTCATAATCGTGTAAATTTTTCTCAGACCATGAAGTTTTGCTACTGTGAAGACAAAGTGAATGACAGTAGCAAGGACATCATATAATAAGAGAAAAAGTGGAAGAAATTTTACCCTGGAGCCAGAGTTACTGCTACTTTGGCACGCTAGGAACAATATAGCCCGCCTTGAATCCAACTAGCCAAGTAAGATTATGCCATAGAATTAAAAGTGGTAGAATTAAAAAAAACTGCTGAGCCAGAAGATGTATGGGGATGACATAAACCAGGTTCCTTTGCACCACTAAACAGTACCGTTAGGTTGCTATGTGATTACTATGCGCTAGTATACAGTTGATTTCTCAGCTGCATCAGGCATAGAGTCCAGTTTTTTGTACACAGTCCATAAGAATGTAAAAAGTAAGTCAAGTCACTTACGCATGTTATTACATTTGACATATGTACATGTATGTTGTTATGTTGAAGTTTGAATGAATATTTGAGTCATGTCCTTGATCATTTTCAGTTCCAGACACAAGCCTGGGAAAAAAGTGTTCCAGAACTTCCACCATGGATTCTCCAGCATCCAGGCCACCGACTTGGCTGCTTCAGGCCATCAAGGCGGTGCAGAGGAAGGGGTTGGCAACTAAAGACAGGATCATTAGTCATGTGTGTAGGAATCATGGCGTCCCGCGGGACACTGTGCAGCAACAGGTGGAGTCTGCCACCAACCAGGGGCAGATCCTCAGGGTCCGTCAGGCCAGGGGGGCCTGCGTCTACATCAACCCCACCGACGCCACATGGTCCCGAGCTAAAGTCCAGCTGAAACGTCTGAAATCCAAGGACCTTTCTAGTATGTCTCTTAGACCGAGAGCTGCTGCCATTTCTCTGAACATGGAGGTTTGGGATTCTGAAACTGAAGTAGACAACTGCCACCTAACAGTTTCCTCCAACAGTCCTGAAGCACCAACTTCAACTGTCACTGAGTCACCAGGCAATACAACAGAAACAATGACTCCTGGGGTCAGCCAGGAAGTCAGAAGTAATCCTAGCAAAGACTTCATCACCTGTTTACTTCTGGATGCTGTGGACAAACTCAAGAATGAAAGAAAGAAAGCGAGTCATGAAGCCATAGTTAGTACTGCTGCTAAGATATCTGGTGTACAGACAGAAGCTATTGAGAAGGGGTTTGAAGCTGCATTGTCAAGTGGAGTTCTATGTTCCAAAGACTCTGGAGTGACTTACTGTTGTAACCCTGCAAAGTGTCAGACAAATGATCAGACAAGCCTGCAGACAAATCCTCTCCTCACAACCACACCACAAACACATTCAGATTATTTTCATCTCATCTGTAAGGCTATCGTAGACTTGGATGAGGAGGGTGGGTCTTCCCTACTTGCCATAAGTAGATATCTGGTACATGACCTGCAGGTACAGAATGACTTCAGCTTGAAGGCTAGGCTACAGCAGGCAGCAAAACGTGGCATGGCCCAAGCAAAACTCCAGAAGGATGGCATTTTGTACAAGCTCGGCGCCGTTGAGAAGAGCAACATCAGTATGTGCCAGCTTGTCGGTAGCACGTTGGGCAAGCCTGACATGACCATCAAACAGTTAATCAGAGACATGCTGAGAAAGATGAAGGCAAACAAGCAAAAACCGTCCGAGGAGGGAATTTGTAGACCCATATCACGCGACTGTAGCATTGCCGAGAAAGACCTGTTGGAGTGCTTGGATCAGTGTGTTGGCGAGGGCAGCATTCTGCAGATCTACAAAACAGACGGAACTGTGGTGTACAAGTTACCAGAGACTGATCTCATCAAACCAGTCAAGAGAAAAAGCATTCCTGGTGGGGAGAAGACAGAACCCTGTGTGTCCAGGACAGACAAGACGCCTACATCAGATTCCAACAGCCCATCTCTGGAGCAAATGTTACACAAGGCGATCAAGAAGAAGCACACTTTAAAGCAACAGACCACCGCTGTTGGGATCTTCAGCACTTTGATCCGGATGACAAAGAAGGTCTTCACACTGGGACAGGTTAGAAGTCAACTGGCCCTATGCGTGGAGGAAGGGAGTATGACCAAAATGGGGCATGGTGGCAAGACTTTGTATTACTCTGTGACTGGCAAACCTACTGCAGTGCGGCAGCAAAGTAGCGCAGAAAACACATCAACTGATGTTTCAGTGAATGTCAACACACTGCGACATGATGGGGCTTCATTTGCCACAGTTCCAAACCCGTCTGCTAGAGATGAAGCAGTGCCCCAGGGGAGTAAAAAGTACAGGAAATGGCTGATCCGTGCCATACACGACGTGAAGGGCATGAGACAAAGAGTTACTGCCGAGCGGCTCTGCAAAAGAGTTGCTCGCAAGCACAACGTTGAGCCCACTGTAGTACAACATCAGTTAGCAATGTGGATAAAGAACAGCAGATCAACAATTAACAGAGTAATCCAGCCAGATGGTGTTGCAATATACAAAGTAGGTAAAGTTACTACATCAACTAAGGAGCAGACAGCAAAGAAGCATGTGAAGCAGAAAGGTAGTCCAAGCTGTCTGGAGTCAAGTCACAAAGCTGACCCCATCATCGCAAACTACATCCTTCAAACCATTCTTACCCTCCAGCGACTCAATATTGCACCAACGGCAGAGAACATCTGTAGACAAGTCTACCTGTCCCATGATGTAAACGCTATAGTCATCCCTGGACAGCTTCAGTTTTGTGTAAAAGAAGGCAAAGTTATACACACAGTAGGTGAAGATGGGGGATCTCATTATGAGTGTAGTTCCACCTCTAAAAAGGCATTGGCTCTGAAAAGTGTAGCATCTTCACAACTTCCTTCAACACATCCCAAGGGGAAAGTAAGCAAACTGTCCTCAGTCTCAAAGCCTTTGAAACAGAAAGGAGGACGGAAGCCTGTCCTGACTTTAGAGGGAACAGGAAAACCTGATGCTTTAGTCAAGAAGTGGATAGTGGAGGCAGTACAAAAATGTAGAGAACTGAGAGTCTGGACGTCCGAGGCTCAAATCATCAAACGTGTGCAGCAGCTGCATGGGAGTGTTGACACTGCTATGATAACTCACAATCTCACCAGATGTTTGCGGGAAGGTTCTGTCATCAAGAAGTTCCTTCAGGATGGGAGAGAGTCGTACCGGCTGAACAAGGATCTGAGAAACACGATGACGTCCACAGGCCCTTCACCAGACCCGCTCGTGAAGGCGGCCTTACTGGAGGCCATCCAGACCAACGAAAACACGGCAGCCACTCCCTACACTGACGAAATCTGCAAGAAGGTGGCCAACATGCTGGGTCAGAGGGAACAGCATGTCTACGAGCAGTTACGGCTGTGTATGAAGGAGGGGAGCATCGCAGAGTGTGAGCAGAGCAATCCGGACCCGCTGGTCAAGGCTACCATCCTGGACGTGATCCGGTCGCAGGACCCACGTAATCGGCCGTACACAGAGGACATCTGCGAGGAGGTAGCACAGCTCCTGGGTAAAGACGTGGACGAGATTGAGATGGAACTGCAGCTGTGCATCAAGGAGGGCAGCATCGCAGAGATGGAGGAAGAGGCGTACGAGGAACCCCCGCGACCGATCGTCCACGTGGACCCCGACTCCGGCCTTAGCGAGCTGGTGGTGCACGCGGCACAGCAGATGCACGACAGACACTTCACGGTCAGGGACGTGGAGAGGTGGATTGGGGAGAACTTCAGCATGGACGTGGCAGCAGGGGTGGACCTCAGGGCCAAGATACAGGAGGCCTACACACAGTGCTACAGAGAGGGTACTCTACCTGCAACGGCGTTAAACAGTTCAACTGTACAGGGCGATATGGATGTGGATTCTCCAAGTCAAGCAACTTATGTGGATGTAAGATACATGTATTTTGCTTCCCTCTAAACTTAAAAAAGACCTTGCAACTTCTAGTTAGTTGGCAAACCCAGCTCTCCTAAGGCAAATAAGTGCCGGGAGTCAGGAAGTGTAGATGCCAAAATATTACACCATTTAAGTGTGTTTAAAAGCTGAAAACACAGCTGTCAGTCATGTTTCTGTACATTCTTGTATGTTTTGGGGGTTGTAGAAATGAGGGTGCCATGTGTGAGCTGTTTTATTAACAACAATAAATGTCACAAATGTGAATTAATAGTAGTCTCCGGTGGGAAAATGTTACAGACTGGCCAATTGGATACTGTCTTCCCCCATCGAAAGATCTGCTTAGAGATTAAATTAATAGTACAAATATGTTGAAAAGTGGTAGTAAATAATAATCACTTGAATATTTTTTTCCATTAGAATATTTCAATTCTTGCTGCAAATTCATATTGATGTGGTTATGTTTCAGCCCAAAGCAACAGAGCCCTATCCAGTTATGCTGGTTTGTCACCAGAGTCTCCAGCAAGATACAAGCAGCACAGATGATGCTCTGGCCACTCTGGACAGTAGAGATGACCCTCAGCTGTCAACTGTCCCAGACGTCCCCACAGATGTGCACCAGGCTGATATGGGTAGAACAGACAACCTCGAGCCAAGTGCAACCACCACAGAAAGGATCATGGCAAACTTAGCTACAAGACTTAGTGATAACCTGTGTAGTACAGGCAACACAGAAAATGTTCAGGTAAACAAGATGAGTGAAGTCAAACCAAGCAATGTTCAGGTCTCAGCCATCATAGATATTACAGACGACACCTCGCCTGTCATAGATCTCACAGACGACGTTACACCGAACCTTACCGAAAACACAGTAACGTCTGAGGCCAGTAGTTCAGGTGACAACCAGCCACAGGCAGCCAGTCCACAGCCTCATGTGGCAAGCAACACAGTAACAAGTACTGACGTCCCTCAGGCTAACAAGAACAGTACTCATGAACCCCAAGTAACCGCAAACAGTACAGAAAGTTTAGGGTCTAGCAACAAAGATGGTGATAAACTAGTTGCAGACATAGACAACACAGTTAATAATGTGCCAAGTAAAGACAGTGATGGTAACACAGAAAACCATGAACAACAAGTTTCCACAGATGATCTTCAGTTCAGCACAGACAATGGACTTGACATCAAACCTGACCTGCATCCGTGCACAGACAGCACAGATACCAGCCTGCCAAGTACAGGGCAAAAAGATGACGCCCAGTTGACTAGAAATCCAACTGGCCCCCAGAGAAGTATCAACAAAATGATAGACCACCTGTGGCATAGCAAGACAAGTCTGCACACTGGCAGTGGGACCAGTGAAGGCCCTCTGTCTAAAAAGGAGGACAGCAAAAATGTCCCCCAGTCAAGTGCAGACGCCACTGATGATATCAAGTCCACTTCAGATGGTCAGATGACATCTAGCCCTCCGTTGACACCACAGACAGGTGTCTCTGTAGAGGTGCCCTCACCCAAACCCACCACCCTGACTCCTGAGCATCTGTCTGGCATCAAGCAGGAGAGATAACTTCAGGTGGGGAGATGTTCTTTATGTTTCTTCATGTCATGATCATAAGTTATATTGTGGCCAAGTAGCTAGGCTAGTGCACACAAGTTTGAGTGGTCAAGGATTTAATCCTTGCCATTCCTAACTAGATGTTATGTACCTGGGAAAGGTACTTTATGGTATTTTATGAAGATAAAATTTTGCTCACAAGATACTTCTAGTAGAGGCTGGATTGCAAAGTAATTTTAGAAAAGCTGTAAATGTTAACGCTGTTACAAAGAAATGATAGTTTACTACATTTGTGTAGTGCTCTGACATCATGTTACCTGACCAGAAGTTGCACTTGTAACATTAGTTTTTGAAATGTTTTGTTTTGTTTTGTTTCAACAGCTGAACTCGATCAAGAGAATCCAACATATGCCATCAGTGGACACCAGGGAGAAAAGATTGATGGTGAAATGCATCAGTGAAGATTCAGCACAAGTCAATTATTCCAGCCAGATATAGTACTACACCTGTGTGAAACTCATAGAGTGTTGTACATAGCACTTTGGCAGAACGTCTTGTTTAAGGTTGTATTCGTGTATTCAAGGATCACATCCCCTATCTATAGTTTTCAAATTTTGTGTCCAATAAGATATTGTCCATAGCAAGCAAAATTCTGATGCTATGACCAAACATCCAACAAAAACAGCGTAGTATGTTCTGCCAACATGCTGATCATGTAACAACCTCAAATGTTCATGTTTTGGTGCCAACAGTTTCAGTTGTTCTAATTCTTGATGAAATGTCTTTAAAAATAATCTAAGCTGTAAATGTTAAGATTTTGTTCCGTGGATTTACTCCTGAAGTGGAAGCATAGGGATTTTCACAGAATAATGTTGTCTATTTTCACGTCTACTTTGACTGCCCACTCCATTATTCTTCTGTGAAATTGCAGAACCAAATGGGTGTTGTAGTTAAGATATTGCCTTGAGAAACCATTTATTGAGGTGTGGTATTACTATTACTGTGATATATAACTTGATCATATGGACACATCACACAAGGTACATCTGTGTTGGTAGAAGTCATTATGTAGTAAGTTTAAAATGTAATTCCCTACACAAGAAATTGGACTGTACAACTCCAGTTTTTGTCAAGGTCAATTAGCAATCCACCGCTTCCGGGGTGCCACAGACTTTCTGCAATTTACAATCCACTTCTCACAGAGTCACTTCTGCTTAGTCCTTCCCTGCACAAAATCCTACCTTTAAGCACACCTTAAAACATATGTAAAGGTATGTGCAACGGCAGAATCGTAACCTTTACACATGATTTCAGGTCGGCATAAAGAATGGATTTTGTGCAGTGCTTGACAAAGACGGGAGTGGTACAGTGGAAAATTTGCCTAAGTCCAATTTCTTGTTTTGGAAATTACGAGTTGCCTCATAATCATGTGGAAACATAGATACAACAAAATGCCCAGTGCCCTTTGTGTAAGAAGAACTTGATGTTTAGAATGCAGATACTACAATGCAATGTACTTGAATGGCCCAAAAGTTTTTTTTCTCTATGAAGAGTCTTCATCAAGACATGTTACAATACTGGGCTTATGATGTATATTAGGCAGAGACCTAAAAGTGCTTGTAAATAATCCAAGCTTCTGAAGGCAATGAGATAATTTCACAGTGAGTATATACTGATATACATGTATATTCAATCCATATATGTTTGTACAATAATTTTGCAATTGTAACAAAATATCTTAACAAAATCATAACTAAACAAAGTATGCTGCTCCATTGTTGCTCAATTCCAGATACAGCTGTTACATAAAATGGAATAATATTCTCATGAGTCATGTGTTACAGGGAATTCATTGCTAGTTTCTGTATGACGACATAATTGATATTACATTTGCTTTGTAGTTCTGAATGTACAACATGTAAATCTGGAGAAAAATACTCAAGCTTTTTTAAAATCAAAATGTTGAAAGTTTACTACAGTAACTTCAAATTAAATACAGTGGTCAGTATGTGTACTGTATACATAGTGATGTTATTGAAATCCAGTTCTAAACTGTATATCCTATAGTAATATCTTATCAGAAACAGCTGCCAGTATAGTCAGTTATTGTTAGCAAAGTTGTTATACAACATATGCTTTTGTTTGTTTATGAATATTATGTTAAGTTTATGTTAATCACATTTGATTTTGTGACTTTTTGCTTCTTTCTAGTAGGTAGAGTGTCACATTTCCCCTTGTGTATGTCACATGCCACCCAAAGTTCGCTTCTCATAAATGTACATGTAGACATTCATCTATTAGGTTATTAGTTATTAGATTAGTTTGTTGTAAAATCGGTGATGAAGACCAAAAAATATTTCTACTTCACTGTTGCTGTGCAGTATGCACCTGTCACAAGTTGTAGTAATCTCATTATAGGTAAGTACAGAAAATAATAGATATAAACATTGCAGACATTCATTGTACAGTTGTCATCTTTGTAATGATGCTTGCGTTCTTCCTATACTAGGAGCTACCAAACTGTAAAGCCTAGCAATCCTAGAATCCTAGAGAATTTTTAAGGTCCATTACTCTCTTGGAAGACTGGCTCTTCTGTCTGCAAGGGTTCTTCGGCGATGTCACTGTTGGTGCATCTAGTAGACACCAACACAATACACATGTAGCCTCCTTCGCAGTCTTGTTGGGCGTGGGCGTAATTTTTTCTGTGAGCGACGCGAGTAATATGCCGCCGCGAGGGACGATTTGCTGCCGAGGGACTTTTGCCACGGAGAGAAGGTTTCCGCGCTTGTTGGAGCGG